CCACGGTGGAAGCCTAAGGATGGGGCTCGTTTGCCTTCACTTTCAGCACTTGACACACCGGTCCTTAGTCGGGCACTCAAACGCCAGGCGTTGATATTCTCGAGCGCTGACGAAGCCCTCATCCTAGACGAAGACGTAGCCGAAGTCCTGACTGCCACACTCATCTTGCCCAACCCTGATATGCTGCGCCTCTGTGACCGCAGCCCGTACGTCAGAAAGATGCGAGAGGCAATGGCTGCTCGCTCCATCACTGAATCCGAGCTGCTAGTCTGGATATCACCGTCCGCCGTGCCTTCATACCACCTCTTGGGCCAAACCCGGCACCACCGGATAGGGAAGATCGTCTTGCTTCACTGTTGGAACTGGCTCAGCACCAAACCGAGCAGATCGACGTGCTCATTCCGTAAAACAAAAGCAGCTGGAACAGCGCTTGGTAGCAGTAGAAGGCCAACTCCGCTCGACAGCCAGCACAACAACGCAAGCAGCAACAGCGATTGACCCTTCATATTCCACAACGACCCCTTAAGCACCACCACAGCCTGGAGCCAGAGCAGCTCGAGCAAACCCGAAGGAGGCACAGTCGCTAGCAGCCACGTGGTTCGCGTGGTTTACGGCGGGGCCTCGCAATCTGAAAGAAAGGCGACGCTGAACGAGTTTAGACACACCGCAGAGTACATGATGCTTTTCTTACAGACTGGATTCGCACTAGATCCAGCGTCTGCAGCGTTAAAGAGCGAGGTGTTAGCCCTGGGCGAGAAGGCGCAAGAAAATGCGCTAGCATTCTTGAAAGAAAATAGGTCCTCAGCAGCTGCATCCGGTACAGCGCTGAAAGCTTTTCGTAAGCTCCATAAGGTCGGGAAGCTCGATGCGCACCTAGCCCAGTTCCATGACCGTGTTGAGCGCGGTGACGTGGTCGACCCTACTCCAACGGCTGCCTCATCATATATTTTTTCGCTTGAAGCGCCTTGGCTGCTAGTCTGTAAAAAAAACAAAGAAGATCATCCACAACCACGGACTACAAAGCACAGCTAGTAAACACCCGATAGACTTAGATGGATTTTGTGCTCTAAAACATTTACAATATACTACAGCATAGCTACAAGAGCACGTTAGATGACACATACCGACTCAAGTAATGATATAGAAAACACTTATCATATAAACGAGTAGTATATGGCCCGATAGAACCCGCAAGTACCACCGCTCCGTGATTATACACCTCCGGTAGCATATCGCCCACCTTGTCGGGTCATTTTACACCACAGCAACGGACTTGGGAAGCGGCAAGAGTGGGAGCGGCAGGCGGCGTGTCTTGGTGAGCCGCTCGGTGTGCTCGGGGGGTCGAAGGGTGGCTTGTCGCCGCAGTATAGCCGGCGTTCCGCGCGCCATCTTCTGTGCCGTCGCGTTGGCGATTGTGTTTGGAGAATGCCTGTGTGGCCTGAGAGAGCAGGGATTTTTAACCCCTCCATCCCGTAGCGATTTTTGTTTTTTTAAATTTCATATGCAACTTACCATGACTTGATGTTTGTAAGTAAAGGGTTGGGCCACTGGCGGGAAACGGGGTAAAGTCGGTCGTGAATGGGTATGGACCAGACTAAACTGTTCATAAGGTGCATATTGGGAGCTGAATTGACCTGGACAGTCTGCATAATGCAGCATTACAGGACCGGTAATAGACAGACGCTGTACAGATACGAGCCATCCGCATCGGTCTGTGCATTTGGTAGAGTTTTCATTTTTAGACATTTTGAGGTGAAAACTTCCCACACAAAGTGTCATAGTGTCCGACGGGGGTCACCCACAGAAAGCAACGCCATCAGATGATGCGGTGCTGGCAGCTCGAGGTACGCATACTCAAATCAAGTGAAAAGATCAGCTGATAAAAGAGTCAGATGGATTAGGCACAGTGTCAGATGAGCAAGCAATACCTTGTGCGGGACGTTCGCGCAAGCAATCATCCTGATTTCTTAGACTGCATATACTATGTTCAAAGTTTTTTATTTAAGTTACACCAAGCACAACAATGCAGTTTACCAGCAAATTATACGTCCTACGTCGCTTTCCTCTTCTAGCCGGATACAGTGGTGTGAGAGGTGTGGCAGGCGTTCCAGGCGTTGACGGAGCTCTAGTCGACGTGTCTACAGCTCGACGTACTCTGATATTTCTACCCGTGTCGACCGCAACCGACTTGCCGTTCATCCACTCTCGGTGCCAGCTATCCCAGAATGTCATAGCTACTCCACGGATCTGTTGGTGCGGCTTCATACACAGGAACATTGGCCCCGTGCTGCTGCATTCTTGACAAAAGAACGATGGTGTTGTCGCGCGTTTGTCCGCAACACGGAGAAGCGAACAGACTTTGCACGTGCGCTATCGGCGCTTCGGCTGCGTCGTCGTATTGCGCCACTAATCAAGCTGGCGGACAGCGTGATTAGTTTGCATACCTCCAGATCCTGGAACGGAAGCGTCTTGTGAGGGTTCGTGTGTACCAATCGTTTTGCCGTCATACATGTCGGACGCCTGCAGCTGCGAGAGCTGCAAATCCAGCTTCTTCATGTACTTTACATGCGTCAATGGTCGAGACGACTTCTGCTTGTAGTAGGCTTTGTGAACTATGTAGCCATTCACGATTGCTAAATCAATTGATCTCAGCACCAGCGACTTGTAGTACTTTTTGAACCGCACGGCCCGCTGAATAGAGTAACGCTGCAAACGTAACTGGTCGTGGACATCCACGCCCCCATAAAGGCGTGGTAGTCCTTCACGACCCCTGGGCAAGGATCTTCGACTTTATCTGTGAATTCCTGGCGAGCAACACGATCCATCTCGAGGTTCCCGCCAGTGCACAGGAAGTGAGTCGGACGCGCGTCCCACCAGCTAGCAGCAGTCATGATTGGCACTAACTTTGATCTTGAAACTTTGACAGATCCGAGCAATAGTAGCAGGTCTAGACTTCTTTATTTTTAACGACTCCTTTGCAATAGCCCAGCCGGTTCGTCATAATTGTCCCAACACAGTAGAATCCCATGAGCAGCAATTGAATTGCCTATGCCACCGACGTATAGAACCGATCCGCTACAGCGAGTCTCATTCCGTTCATCCGTGAATCTGGCCCAAACACAGCGAGGAGATTGCGGACTACTGCAGCAGGCCCTGACTTCATATCTGTCTTGTGTGCATCACTGGAGTGCTGTTTATTACCGCAGTAGACCTCAAACCTACATAAATGCAGCATACACATAGCAAAATATCCAGCTTTAGTCTGCATTATTCAGCATAAGAAAAACTTAGAACCAAAAACAAACTACCTGATGCAGTAGGCGGTCACCGTACTGCACAGCATAAAGGCTTCGTGCCCCAGTTGTGGGGTTTGTCTTTCATGTAGATACGCATCTTGTTGAACGACGAGCGGCTAGGAAGCATCGCTTAATCAAAAGCCAAGTGCGCTGGAGCCACATACCCTCGCTCTAATGTTCTTTGTAGAACTTTCACAACTTTGCGAATCTTCCATGCTCTATCTGTGACCGCCCTCGGATCAGAGTTTGGATTGAGATGTAGGTTTCGAGAAATCGCCATAAAATCTATCGCGACGCAGCACGGATCCAAACGCTCCAGGTGGAATACCGCCTTCATCAGTAGATTTCTAATGGTTTGCAAGTTTTTCGCGGTTGGGGAAATCGTGCGTGCAATTAGGAGGCCGATAAAGCGACAAAGCTCGTGAGGTGGTATCGATTTCGCGCCTTCTAGCTCTGTCTGGATGTCTCGCTTGGTCTCCTTTGGTAATTGAGGATTGAGTCGGCACTTGCTACGGTAGCGTTTGTACCGTTCATCAACACGAAGGGATGCCATTTCACGGCCATACTCGTTTGAGCATACCGCAATGTGCTGCCACAGCACTACTGGTAGAAAGAGAAAACAGAAGCGCAAGCGGAGAGTCGACATTGCGTAGTGCATCAGCTGTGTGACCCGAATACCCTTGCCGTAGCCCAGGGTAGCTTCGTGTGTTGTCCGTAGGCTCGTACGGCGTGTTCATGTAGCCAAACGTATCTGGTTCCTCCACATCTTCCCAACCAGTCGCAGCCGTTTCATGTTGAACATCGTTCTTGAGGTTACCAGCTAGCACTGCGTCCTCTCCTCCAAAACTGTCTAGGAATCGCTCCGCGAATAGAACTTCAGCGTCAATCTCAGTCTCAGAAGCTTCAGATTCGTCTTTATCAGCTGGAATGTACGTATCAGCGCATTCGTCATATTCTCTACTGTCTTCGTCCATAACCAAATCGTCTTTTGAAGCATCATCACCAGATTCCATGGAAGCGTACTCGACAGAGTCGTCTCCATTACACACCGTATTGAGCGAGTCGTCTTTACCAACAAGTAGCTCACTGCTCACTCCTCCATCGTCAACTCCATCTTCATCTTCATCGTCAACTCCATCTCCAAGACTATCATCTATAAAGCAACGAACCATAAACAAATCAGTGAAATGCACCCCAAGTTGCAGCACTATATGCAGCACAAGATGCAGCATAATATAAAACGTACCAGGCTGGCAATAGCTTCTTCCTCAGCCGATTCCATCGATACCTCGTCCACAGTCTTCCACGGCTTCAAACTCGGAGTCGTCGCCTAAAGCTGTCGGGACTACCAACGCTGACATGGGGTGATGTAACAATCAGTGTCGTGTGTGGCGGAGGTGGCAGCCATAGGAATCTCAGTATCAGCCAATGAGCGCCGCGTAGGGCGCGAAGACCGTCGACCAGCTCCAGGACTAGACGGTAGGGTTGTAGGGGCACTTGCAGGTACATTAGGAGGTGCACTTCGAGGCGGTGAAAGCATTTAAGATGGTTACGGAGGCTGTGGCATGCTTTTAGCTTCGCTGCGACTACTTATGCCTTCAAATAGGTGGCCGTAGGTTTCGCGAACGACTTGAGCAGCGCGCACTAGCTCAGCATCACCACGGGTAGGCAGACTGGATGTTCGCGCTTGAGTACGTAGCACTGTGTATGTAAACATGTAACGTTAGTTACCAATTGATAATAACATCACTAAAGTACTTTACTGTTCGCATAATACTCCAGCACTGTTTTTTCTCCCAGGAAAACGTCGACTCCGTCGGGGTTGCATCCGGGCTGGACGTAGCGATATCTGTCGTCAAGGTCACGGCTTGGCGGACCAGCCTTGGTCTCTCAACTCACGCCACACCGACCGCCAGGCAAAGTCACTCGACGTCACATCGGCGTCACGAACTTGTTTGTGTCGGGCACGCACCATCTTGGGTCTCCACTTGTGTCCTTGGCGCTCAAAATCTCGAATGAAAAAATATCCCTTTATCGGTGAGTGGCTGTCAGCCGTTACCTGTCAAATCTGCTGATGCGCATCAAAATCGTTTGTCTCAATTTTCTAAAATATGAGCGACTTTCTCTTACCAGAACACTGATCGGGGGTATGTAACAGAAAAAGATCATTTTGCCAAGATCGCTTATCTAAAGTTTGTACAACCGCTGGCGAGGAAAAATACGCTCTTTACAAATTTCAAGTCTAAAATTGCTCTTATGTAGCGTAATGCAGTTTATGAAAAAAAAATAAACTGCATAATGCAGCACGTCGGGTTGGAGGGGTTAATTTAGAATTTATTATGAGTATTCCCACGGGTCACGGCTAAGTTCGATTTTATACCAGACGTTTATTCCGGTATTGGTTGGAACCCCGGTCGGACTTGTATCCATTAAGACATGTTTCAGAATTAGGGCTAACTGGTTAAACAGGTGGGTCTACTTCTGAATTGGGGAAGAGAGCTTGCTTCCTAGAGCAGTTTTTTGACACGATGAATACTTAATATAAACTACATAGACATATTCTGACAGTGAAATGTACTAGCACGTACCAGAAAAAAAATGTCGACACCCAAACTGTCAAAGTGGCCTAAAATGCCTTAAAATCTGGAACCCCTCACTTGAACGCGCGGCTGGCTGTGAAGCTCGGCGCTGAATCGCTTACGCAAAACCCCGTAAGCAAATTTTAAAAGAGTAAAGCTAGAAGTGTGGATCAAATTAACACGCCGGTACCGAAATCGAGAGTATAGTTTTGAGTCGAGACTATCGAGTAGTCACACTCAGTACTGCATCTACCCTGGCGTATTACCAATTTGCAGTACTGTAATCATCCAGCTGTTGTCAGTTATAAAGTGCTTAAAAGGTACAAACTTAAAGCTCGAACTATAATCTGGGTATTACAAAGTACAATCTACAATTGATAAGAAGCTCAAAAAGTCTGTAGATCTATTTTCTGTATCAGTATCTACTGGTGTACTAAGTTTTATAGCAATACCAGAAGTCCTTATTTTCGACCGCACATGTACCCATGTGTTTTAATAATCAATGATAGAACAC